CGTTTTGTGCATGAATGACATTCCCGTCCACGCTGGAATCTGGAATCTGAAGGATACTTTTTGTGCCCCCCCCCCAATGAGAGCAGCCTTGTATTTCTGTAAAGCGTCGGTCCAGCTGCGAGGACCAAAGACTCACACCAGATTCAATTAATCCGCCATTTCATGTTCCCCCCTCCCTAAAACATATTCATGGCACCTCTTCCCTTGAAGGAAGGAGGGTCTGAGCTGAATGGCGGGGGGGGGGGGTCATCTCTCTGTGACAATGGCCTTTCAATGGGCGCCTAAAGAACACCCAAATTAAAAATTTCAATCAACAAAGCCCACAGATCGCTGACAAATTGGGGGTCCTGGGAGGTCACTGCCCCCCCCCCCGAAGACCCCCCCTTCCAAAAGTCACCAAAAGGGAGCAGGTTGCTTTTCGCGCTTCCCCTACTTTTTCGGCAGATTTGGAGAGCTTCCCTTTCTTTTCTTTCTCTTCTTACCTCAATTAGCATCGCCACAGGGCGACGCAGAGAGCGGGAGAACCCCCCCATCCCAAAAAACCCTGAAAAGAACAATTAGAGCTTTTAAAAACATTTGGGTGCTACTTCAGCCCTTTGAGATGTTTTAGATTGTGAACCCGGTCACGTCTTCAACACGACCCCCCCCGACACCCTTCTAATGACCCGCGCAAGCTGATGAGCGCTTTCATTGGTTCGGGAGCCGATCGGCCCCCTGCTAATGGCGGTCTGTAAAGGGGCACTGCCCCTCGTCTGCAGGCGGCTCCGCCCCCCTTGTAACGAATATGGATGCCAATGTTCCCACCAGAAAAAGCAAAGTTAGAAAAAGACTTTGGTCGGATGGAAGGAAGAAGGGCTGAGGACCGGAGACGGAGGGTCTGGATCGTTGGCCCTTCAGACTGCCAGTCAGGGGTCAGAGGTCAGGGGGCCTTGTTCACAACACCAACTGGCAAATGGCATCGACTGAACCAGATTCATGGGGAGAAATAATCAATATGTCTGCTGATGTCAGAACTTTTAACTGAATCAACTTTCATCATTTCAATGAAAGCAAAATGTCGCAGAGAGATGAACATGAAATATATTATTCCAACTAATAAGTTAACATTCGTTAATATCGCTGTCATGAAAAGGGACCAAACGGTTGTTTTTGTTCATGTGGAGAAGTGCGAGGACAAAAAGAAGATAGAGGGACTCACCCATTGTTTGTCAATCTGGGATTCAAACAACGACGTGCAGGACACGAGGACACGAGGACATGAGGACAGGAGGAGAAGAGTCAGTGACATCAAACTAAACATTTCCTCAAACAGAATCAACAGAGTTTACGTCGGTGGGGGGTCGGCAGAGCCGAAGGTCAACTTCTGTTGACCGTCCATCCGAGCGGTCCACTCGAGCAGCCGACTGATCAGAGTGAGGACACGAAAGACGTCTCCTGTTATCTACCAGCTACATTCTGGCCGCGTCCTTCCGCCTCGATTCGGATCGTTCCTCAGAGGAACCAGAAGGAAACGCTGCGTGACGGAACGGGGTAACGAGGCTTCATTCACAACGAAAAGATGCAACGTCACCATTCAGCTTCTGTAAATCAATATCAGCTGTGTCGGGGGGCAGCGGAGGGGGTCACGTGACCGCGAGCGTACCTCCTGGCCCGTGTCCAGCACGCAGAGTTTGGAGCACTGCTTCTTGGCGTCCATCAGCACGTTGAACATGGTGCAGACCGACAGCGCCACGCGGAAGTCCGTCGACTTGCTCGCTTTCTGCATTTTGGAATCAAACGCCGATTTTGTTCTGCGGGGCGAAAGGAAGAAGCGTTTTAACACACGTTGTTGTTACACGACAGAAGGCCGTGACATGTATGTTGGAGCGGTTTTCGGGGTAGAAAGTGGGCGGTGACTGTGTGCTGAGGGGGAGGAGGTGGACCTCTTGATGCAGGCCTCCATCATGTCGCTGGCCATCAGCTTCAGTCTCTGCTCCAGATGTTTAGCAAACTCGGCCTCCGGCCAGTGGAGGTCCAGCACGAACATCTGCAGAGCATCCAGCTTCCAGAACAGGTCCTCCGAGGTGGCCGAGCCGTTACTGCGGGCGAGGGAGGGCGGGTTATTGCTTTTTAAAGATGACCTCACTTCCTGTGTGAGTGAGTGTAAAGTATCTTTAAGCGTGATGCTGTGTGGCTTTAAACTCCTTTAACGATTTTAAATTTGAATAATAATAGTGTTATTATCTTTCAGCTTCACTTGCTGTTTGATGGTGAGTTGTTTGTGTTTTTGGTTTTTGCGTTGCATTTGCACTCTTTCAACATCTCAGGGACCATTGAGGATTTTTGGTCTCGTCAAACATTTAATAAATAAACTTTTCCTGGTTTGCTTCATTCGCGGCTCTGAGGGCACTCGGGACCTTCAACAGGTTGGAGGTGGTAGTTTGATGCCGAGCTGTGAGACAGATGGACGCCCCCCCCCCTCCCCGTCCCCTGAGAACAGGTTACACAGCAACACATGGCAACGACATGCAAGTGTACAGCGCCCCGGCTACGCCGACAGCCACGGGGGGATGGGGGAGGGGGGCCCTCACTTCCCACTGCCGCCTTTAAAAGACTGTTACCTTAACAAGTGGCGCACAGGAATAAACGCTATGGTGCCGAGTCCGCGCCCCCCCCCACGTCTAATTAGTGGGGCTCTTCTCTGAGCGCGCTACGCCCCCTTCCCCGGGGGAACGGGACGATCCCACTCGCCCGTCTGTGCTCGCTAATGAAGTGCCAGCTCGGATCGAGGAGGGCCAAGTGAAGTGAGGTAGAGGGACAGTGTGGGGGGGGGGCACCAGCAGCGCCTCCATAACAGACATAGCTTAAAGGGTTTCTGAATGCTTTCATTTCTAATAGCGTCCATTTAAAAGACTTCATTTCGGGTCCTTTGGTGACCTTTGACCTCTAACAGCAGTGTGAGTCTTCACAAGTTCCTTCCTTTGTTCACTTGATAGATAGATTTGATTTCTTTTAGAGATGTTTCATGTCTTTTCTTTTGTATTTTCTTCTTAAATGGATTTTTAATACCTTAAATATCTGCATACATGGATCATTTTGAACTCATCTACTGACAACCATAACTCTGCACTCATGGACAGTCGGGAGCCTCTGTGTGGAATACTGCTTTGCTTTGTCCAGAGGGACAGAATTACTGAACAAACTTACAAGACGTCAGGCAGATTCATCCCGTGAAAGCTGCAATAGAAACGGAGTTGTTGTGTTATCGCCACACGGACGTTCATCGCATCCAGAAACCATCTAACGGCAATGCGGCCTCATGCTGAGCCGGAGGACTCGTCTCCGACAAACATGCGGACAGACGGAGAGACACTGGACGGACGCTGGGGACGGACGGAGGACGGATGGAGGACAGCTAGAGGCCTTCACAAGGAGCTGACGAATAATGTCAAATATATAATACAGTACACAATATACTATATATGTACTATATACTATAAGAATAACACAGAGAGGCGGGGCAACGCGTTGACTCTGCAGCAGGGGGATCTCACCGTTAGTTTGAACAATTCTTGTAAACATCAGCATGTTGAGCTTCAGTAAAAGTCCAACTGTTGCTGTCAGGGTTCAGAGGAGGAGAAGCGAGCAGACCAGAAGCTCTCCATCTCAGTCCCACCGCCTGTGCGGACACCATCTTGGTTCTACAGCTCTCAGACCGTGTGAAGACCTCTAGTCCAGTATACCCCCCCTGTACATACGTGTTCTCACACAGCGGGCCCATCCAGGCGGGGGCTGAGAAGCTGGGCATCTGTGGCAGCGTGAGAGGGAGGCTCGGGACTTTGGGAAGAGGAACGCTGGCTAGATTGTGAGTTAAGGACCTGGCGGGTGGGAGTCAGCGCGAGGCGTCAATGAGAGAAGAGAGAAGAAATAGAGACGGTAACCAGGAGAAAGGAGACGTACAAAAGCAGCCACTTGTTCCACTGATCAATACAAGAAGCCCCCGCTCACTTCAATTCACTCTGCCTCCTCTCATGGCGTCCTTGCTGCCTGAGCGCCGTGCTAAGCTCCGCCTCCTCCTGTTCCTTCGCTGTCCTGTGGTCTGTTTCCGTCATAGTGAGTGTCGCACCTCGCTGCCCGGGGCAAACAGAGGCGAAAGCCAACCGCAAGAGGCGGAGCTGGCCGAGCGGATGAAGATGAACCACCATGTGAATTCATCACTGAAGTAAACGATACGCTAAACTTGATTGATTGTGCGTCCCTCGCAAAATGTTCTTCACGACGTACCGACTCTTCAATAGGAGGAGAAGATGTTTTGGGACTTTTGACCGGTACTGTACATGTATATGGATTCTATGTTGTACTTCAGCTACATAGAAGGTAAATGCTCAACCACATGGATCTAATATGTGTGGAGTTTTAATTAAATAATTGAGAGCTCGAGCTAATTTTTAACATAAAGCTGCGTCACAAACATCGACTAGAGGCTGAAATTGAGGCAGGCAATTGTTGTCTTTTATAATGTAATGTGTAGATCATTTCATTGGTATTGTTCTATGCTATGAAGCACTTACACATCAAATGTTATATAGTAAGACAAAGCGGCCTGACCTGCCTTGTACCTGAACGCACCTCTTTAAAACCATGACGTAGTCAAAGCCTGTGTGGTAGCGAGCTGACTTTACTACACCCTCCAGACAGCAGCGGAGTGCGGAGTCTTACTTGACCGACTGCCATGTCTCCTGCTCAAAGCCGCGGTGGATGGACTGGGCGATGGACGACTCCATCAGGTCGATGTAGCGCACAACCAGGGGGACGAACAGGGCCTGCAGGTGTTTGTGGAAGGTGCCGTTGCACAGGTGAGCTGTGGAGAAGAGGAGCAGGTGAGCAGACGTGGCATCATCCAGTCGGATCACTTGACAGCACTACAGAGGTGGGTCGAGGAAACGTTTTTATACATATGAAAACATTTATACATTTCAGACAGAGGGTCCGCTCAGGTTCATGTCTTTATTCAAGAATAAACTTGCATGAACTCCAACCTCTTGACTGACTGATTCGACTGTGTCGCAGCGTTGGTTCTGACTTCATCGACTGGGCCGACCTGAGATCTGTTTCTAAACAACAGCGAGTGCCCCATTTCCGTTGCTTCTGCCTACAAATAATTAACGTTACATCTGGTCTGAAGTCTCCAACCTGCATTCTGTGTCTCCAACCTGCATTCTGTGTAGTCACCACAAGGGGGCGACTCCTCTGGTCCTTAGCTCCTCCCCCTATTGTGAGACTTTTGGTTACAAACAAACCAAAATGCTCCGTCTGTGGGTACAGGTGTGGTTTGTGCGGAGTGCACAGGTGTTTGACATTGCTGCCCCCCCCCTCTCTGAGATGACAGCGAGGAGCGAGTCGGCTTCTCTCTCTCAGGGCTTCATTAGTTTTAATTCCTCTCGGTGGTCATTAACAGTCGCCTTTCTGCCCTCGAGGGGGCGGGAAAGTGTGTGTGTGTGGGGGGGCAAACTCCGGCAATCAAGTGAGCATTTGAAGCCCTCCACTGAACGTCCGAGAGAAGACGACCCTGGAAGAGCAGCGGCCGGCCAGCCGAGAAACGCCGTGAGCGGTTGTTCAGCACTCGTCTCGGCCGCGGGGAGAAACCTCACCGAGCGGCGGACGTAATTACCACAAGAAAAAGAGAAGGACCTCATTTGAGCAAACAGTCACAACCATGATCTCGCCAGTTCTGCGATGCGCGTTGTGCCTCTCGCCTCATCACGCTTCAATTCAAGTCGGCTAATGTTGTGACACTCGCAATAATTACGGCGCTCACGGAGAATGGTAATTAGACGAGAGAGAAGCGGTGGAGACGGGAGGAGGAAGCGCTCGCTGGGCTGCTTTGTGGGTCTGCGCCCTTGGGCTGTCTGCCTGTTACTGTATTCGAGGTACTTTGGCATCAGCCATGTTAAATAACGCCTCGCATCTCGCCAAATCTCCGCTGGCGCCCGGACAAAAGCCTCGGCGCCTCGGAGGAGACAATGAGCGCGTTTCTCCCTTGTTGTGCTCATGGGGAAGGAAGCAGGAAGTTTAAGACTGCTCTGTCGGGTCATGGTTTCTTTCACTCGGCAGCGACCTTGAGAGGGAGAAACGCACAAAGCCAACACGAGCGGGTGGAAGCAAAAAAAGGGTTTTATAATTCATCAATCCACCAAATAGATGGAAAATGGTTGCGGAGGTTTGTGCGGAAGCTGAAATGTAACAAAATGAATCTCTTGTTACTTTCAGCCTCCATCTTTCATCGGCTCTTTCATTTCTCTTTGATGTAAACGATCCACGCTTGTGCTTCATCAATACGATCAGTCGATGGTTTAACTAAAGATCTGAAAAGGAAGCTAAGTGGAGAGAAGACCACATGACAAAAGACTTAACTGCATTATACCAGCTACTTTACAACGTGTATATCTTTATAGGTGAAGGCAAGCTGCAACCTCAATGTGCTAAAGTTATTATGAAGAAACAACTAAGACAACAAATCAAAGTACAACTTTAAAAATATCTGATGACGTAAAACTAGAAAGATAGAAAGAATTCAGTTTGGATCTGGAGCGCTTTTTCGATTTTACCATTAGAGAGAAAACCTGAAGCAGCTCTGTGTGTGTGTGCATGTTTTTAGTTCACAGCCCACAGAAACTGAACGTGCTGTATCCTGAATCCTCCTCTACCTCCAGCATCTCCTCTCCTCTCGTTTGACCCACGGATGGTCACGTGACCGGTGGGCTCAGATGAATCAACCCTGCCTTCATACTCAGAATTTAAGCTTTCTAACAGAATGTTGGGTGTCTTAGTGTGTTTGGATGCCTCTGATGGAAGCGGTGCTCACACGGGACATTACGCTGCTTCTGGCTGACGGACACGAGGTCGATGACAAAGCGAAGAGGTCAAACTCACGGTCCGTTTGCAGGAAGTTGTTGAGGAGCTGGAACAGCGGGAAGCTGTCCCAGGAGTCCACGGGCTGCACCTGCAGAGCGGCGTCCATGTCGGCTCTGTACAGAGACAGGAAGGCCTCGGCGTGTTCCGCCATCAGCTCCGGCCACCACGAGAACGCCTGAGGAACACGGAGAAGACGAGAACCCAGGAGGAAACGGTGTTGACAGGAAGTAGTTCTTCTGTTTGTTACGAAGACGGGGTGCAACTCACCGCTCAACATTTTAACAGAGAACGCACATGTTTACGTGCAAGAGCCACCGCATGCTACATTAGCGTAGTCAGGTGCGTTAGTGTAACCACGTCAAGAGGAAATGGTTTTCCTTTTAAGGGACTTGTTGGATCCTCAGAAGGTCTCTGAGGTCCAGTTCAGGGTTTGTTGCTCACCACAAATCTAGAGCAGGCGAGTCCTCCGTTAGCGCTGTTAGCCGCTGTGTGGAGGCAGCAGGTGACGTTCCTGAAGCTTTTAAATGTTGCTTGTTTCATTGTGCGTCAACAGTCCATCAGAACACTTCAAGGTGATGCCATTTAACTAATTAAATGCGTGTCCTGTTAACTGGGTGCTTAATTACATTCTGTCATTTAAATATATCATGAATTAAAATCCCTTTGACATTAAAGCGGCATTTTCTCTAACATAATAAGAAAAGGGAATGAGATGAGCGCTGTGTGTGGCTGCGTGTGCCGTGGAGGACCTGATCTCATTAAGAAAGCCGACCTCAATAAATGGAGAAACATTCAGTCGCTGCTTTTAAACTAAAAGACAAAATAAAACCTCCAGAGGAGCTGCTGCATTCCGACCGTGTTGATCTCCCGCGGATGAAGGTCCGCTCAGGTGAACGCCGCTATTGACGACTAAAGGACATTGAGAGAAAAGTGCAACCGGCCTTGAATGGCACAGCGCTGCACGGAGGTCAGTGGTTGTAGACGTGAGACGGGGAGAGAAGGGAAGTGCTTCTCCTTCTCATCGGGCCTTTGCACTTCTCTTTCACTGACGAGTCTGACCAGTCTTACTACTCTTTTTCTCCAGGAATCCATTTCAATAATGGCGGATTGTCTTTCTCGATGGAGCGATCTTTACAAAGAGACATGAAAGCAGCAGAGGAGTCAAAGAGCAGCGAGACGTGTTAGCGAGAGACGCAAGGACGAGAGCCGAAGAACGGAAGGCTGCAGAGACGGATGAATGGGATGAAGATGTGAAGATCTACAGCCAAACACACCTCAAAGCAGGACAGGGCTAGTGTGATTGACAGGTCTCTAATAGACCGTAAAGCAAGGGATACTTTAGGGCGGGGCTACTGTGATTGACAGGTTGCTACCAGAGACGTTACTCCATCAGGCTCACATTAGATTCTTTAGGTTGGAGTTCTGTCTCTTCTTTTTCTCGAGGGAATACCTCATCTAAGAAGTAGAAACATTATTTCATTCTTTATAAGACAGTCCTTTTAGAAATTAGGCTTTTCTCAACAAAACTGACAGGATTTTATTTATTTAAAAAACAAATTGATGTTTCTGAGAAAGGGAGAAGAGTTTCTAAGTGACACAACAACAACAACACAACAAGTGGCCCGTGGAGCAACAAACACGCACATTCAAGAAGAAGCTCACCTCTCTTCCCTTTCCCCGATGGAGCACAGGAACACACAAACAGAAGCATCAGGAAGGAAAGTCATTCCAACATGTCGGCTGTGGTACGTTTGTTAAAACACAACTGGATTTCCAATCCGCTACTTTGTACATGAAGAACTCCCAATGAGAAAGAGAATGTTGTTGTATTGATCAGCTGGATTGTGAGCTCAACACGTGGACGCACCTGCAGGATCGTATGACATCACAACCCCTCTGGAGCCAATCACGACTCACTGTATAACCCCCAAAGGGCAAAACCTGGAAAAGGACCCTTTGTCCAGCAGGTAAACTTTTTAATGTGAATATCACAACGAGTCTCGACAGTGAGGACGAAGAAAGGAACACATGGCGATAAATAAACTGTGAAAACAATTATGATTCATCTCTACATTTAATTGTGACAGCTTGCGGAGCAAAAAAAAAAGAAAAAAAAGAAAGCTCAGCTCTGAGAGGACGGTCGCCATGGCAGCGGCTCAGCGTGTTATTAATAGATAAGAAACAGATGCCACTTAGGGCCGATCAACACCTGTGATTGATCAGTTCTACGCGGGGCGGCGTGCGTACGGCGGCGGGGGCGTTCTTTTTCACCGCCTGCACAGCCGGAGGAAAGAGGACAAAAGTGAACAAAACACGTTAATGAAATGATCAAGTGAAGAAAAAAAAAAGACAGCTGAGTTTCTGCTGAAGAGGAAAATGGATGCTTGAGAAGTAAAGTGTTGATGTGTAATAATAATAAATATTAATAATAAATACGAGTCAGAGTCTTTCCAACTTAATGTTACTGAATTAATAACTTATGACTTACAATTGTAAGTAAGTAAATAAAAAACGTAAAGGTCCGGAGGTGCAAATAGAATCGGATTTAAACACGGTTATAACATGTTGGCTGGAATCTTGTTGTCTTTGGTTGTGTGTCAGTTTGTCACTTTTTATAGTTGCATCGATTTCTCTCAAATAAAAGTCGAAAAGTTTAACAAAAATTGTGTTTGAGAGCCATTGTCATAGCAGCAGATGGATGCAGACGTTACCTCGGAGTGATGCTCGTCGTTCTGCTGCAGGACCTCCATGCAGAGCTCCCCCAGACGCATCGCGTCCTCCAGACGCTTCCCCGTAGACGCCTGCGGATCGGCTGAAGGAGAGAAGAGACACTCCATCGTGACACAGAGGACATCAGCTGCCTAATCAAACCAGATCATTCAATGCTGCTCATATCCTGCTCCTCAGAGGAGGAACCCGTTAGATGGGAGTGACAAAGGGGTCCTGAATGGAGTCCTCCTTCTGGACCTTCTGAACTGTGGTCTTTAAAGCGAGGCCGTTGCTGGATCTGCTGGAGGGAGAACCAGGGCAGACCGTCTGACCTGGTGCTCAAGGACACTGCCACTTTGGTCCACAGGGGGCGTCAGAGTGAACCTTCCTCGCAGTAGAACAGCATGTACAACAGTACCAGCGTGTTTATGGTAGAAAATGGATTTTTAAAGCTCCAAACATCTCACCTTTAACCTGCGCGTACTCAATCAGCTGACTGTAGTTGATTTGAGCAGCGTTCTCCAAACATCTCCGCACCAGGTTCTTGATCTCCTCTGGAGGGACCGGCGTGGTGATGTCCTTCATCAGAACCTGAAACACCAGTTCCTCGTTAGCTAGCTAGCTAGGCTAAGTAGCATCCTTAAATGATTGCATTTTGTTTTCCTGTTGTGTTAATGTTACGCTAGAACAATTATCATTACATTTAGGAAGCACATTTCAACTCCGTTTTTGAAAAAAACTTGACATTACAGGTCATTTAGCTGACGCTTTTATCCGAAGCGACTTACATTGCATTTTTAACCCATGGCTTTTTACATTGGCCACGGAGCAGGTAGGGGTTGGGTGTCTTGCTCAGGGACATGGACAGTAGGGTTCGATCTGCCAACCCTGCGGTTCCCACCGCACCCTCTCTACTCCATGCGCACCATCGCAAAACTCAAGTGTTAATAAACGCTTTACTTGTAACTTTTTAAGTCACTTTCCAACAAATTGATCTCAGTAGTTGTTATGATATAATATTTACTTCAGTATATGTGTGATTAAACTAAAAGTGAGTGCACTTAAGAATGGGGAACTTATGCTGAGTGAGGGAAGTATTTACACTTCTTTTTTGTTCACGTCAATCAGAGCCTCATTTATACATTATTTTGTTAATAGACACATGGAGGGATTCTTTTATGTCTGTTGAAAGTATTTTATGATTTCTCATTTGGTGCAAATAGATTTCCAAAGTGCCCTCTCTGAAATTACAAAGCGAACCTTCTTAATCTAATAAACTGGTGAAGATTTATGCCGATACTAAGTTTATTTAAAGACCATTGTTGAACAACGTTAAGCTGTTGATTTAAAGCCCGTACAGAGAAAAGCATTAGGATCCTAATCGAGTCTTAACAAACAGTAATAAGGAGTCTTTGAGTGGGAAGTGGCCTAGCAGTTGAAGAACCATGCAGAATAAGGCCTTAATAAGTGCTTTATAACCCCTAATAAGTCGCCATTAATTAATATGCATGCTAATAAGCAGCTGATCAATGGAGAATATGTTTACCTCAGTGTAACGCTGTGCAAAACCTAAATACCTCAGTTACTCATTATTTAGACAGCTGACGTGGATTGATTATTGGCTCCGCCCACAGGAAGTTTTAAATGTGTGGTCCTACCCGCTCCTGCAGCGAGAGCGTTGCCTTCAGGGCCCCGTCTGGTCGTCCAAAGGGAAAGCAGTACCTGCAGGTGTAGGAAAAAAACGTGGGCGGTCAGGAACAGTCTCAAGGACAACCGTGTGTGTGTGTGTGTGTGTGAACTGATAAGAATAATAGGAAAATGGAAGCAGCGAGACAGATGGCCGCCTCCCTTCCTCTAATTACACCGACAGAGCTTTTCTCACCTCCGGGAGGTTCTCACGTCGCTAATTGACAAGTGAACAGAAACTAAATAAACAAAAGCAGGTCAGACTTTTAATGGCGCAAAGCTGCAGATGTTCTGTTCCTCTGCACCGGTAAGAGTTAAATATATATATATATATCTTTATATAGTTACATGCACGTGTTTAAAAGGTATTATCGAGCAGGACTTTGCTTGAGCTGTCAGTTCATACAAAGTAAAAGGTTGAATCGTTTTTAACTCACGCTCGTTTTTCAGGCTAACACTAAACCCTTTAAGCTAAAGGCACAGGAGGCCTGAATGTGGCCTGGAAGTCCTGACCCCCCCGTGGAGAAGGGTTAACAAGGTCGTCGAGAGCTCGTGGTCATTATCACCGAGTGTGATGCCCGGGTCAACGGTCACCAGTCTGAGACTCACAGCTGACCGAGAAAATGTTTAGGCAACAAAACCACGAGATGAAATTGAGGAAAACCATGAGAGTGCACTCCGTGTCAGGTGGATAACAATGATTGTCGCTTGGACAAAGAATGCTCGTAAACACAAGCAGCAATTACATATTGTGACTATTTAGCAAACCGCTGCTTTGTTGATCTTCAGTGATGAATAAGAGCAGCAGCTGGAGAGGAAACAAACAAACGCTTATTGTGTTTACAGCATCGTCCTCTTGTTGAGGTGAGTTAATGATGACTCCTGCTGATCGCCGATCGCCGCGGCGCCCCCTCTCTTTTACTCCTCTTGAGGGGCTGATGGAAGCGGTGCAATCACACCGTCTCAGTGTGACACTTCAGCTCGTGCCGGTCCGAGTGGGTCCGATGAGACGGGTGCGTTTGAACCCCGATCAGGGTTAAAGGAGCATTACAAGAGCCGGGGGGGTGGAGATGTCCGTTCGCCTCCCTCTCACCTGTCACGTCCGATCTCCTCCTCACCGAGCCATCCACGCCACTCGGACACAGGATGTGACGGGAGCTTTTACCGACCCCCGCCCAACCCTCTCGGGGAAAAGGAGGTGACACTCCATCACCCGCCACTCAACCTGATCTCCTCTCCACCGCTCCTGTCAACCGGCCTCAGGCGGAGGGGGGGCGGACATGGTACTTATCGTTTACACTGGAGCCCTATCGACTGTAAACACACAAACCTGATTCTGCAGAGCCCCACCCCCCACCTCCCCTGACAGCAGCCTCGCCTCCACCACGCTCGCTTCATTTAGCAACAACCATGTGTCTGAAACCCGACAAGCTGTCGCATCGAGGCCGCCTGAGGGCGAGCGCCAGGCTCACGTGACCCCGCGAGCGGGTTGGGGGGGGGGGGGAAGACCCCCCATAGAGCTGTGTTATAAGGCTGGGGTCTTGCAGATCCTTCTCACACAATATGTCCTCCCCTCAAGAAAGTGGAGGGGTGGAGAAATATTTGGGGGGGGCGTTCTTTGTTTGTTTAAAAACCCGGGGGAAAAGAGCAAAGAATATAAATATACCAAAAGTGGGGTTCTACCCCTTTCGTTCTTTCTCTCCCCAAAATGGCGCAGAACTCACACACAATTCTCTCCCCGCGGGGGGGAATCATTTTGTAGCCTCTCTTGTGTAAAAAAAAGGAGTGGGGGAAAAACGCCCCTCTTTTGGGGGGGGGGG